TGAACTACGGAGTATTAAATGTATAACTTTACCGTAAGTTCGATGACCGTGGCGGCGCAAGAGGGAACCGAAGTTTGATGATAGGCGGAAACTCCAAGGAGAGTACCGGTCGCTGCTTGCGTTAGGCTTTCTCTCTCAGTTAGTTTTTGCTCTGCTCCTTTTCTCCGGACGTCTTTGTTCCGAGGCTTTTTGGTCCGGCCAATTTGGCCGAGTTTTGGTACTCTGGTTCGGTGCTCTGGTTTGTGTGTTTCGATCGGCAAGGATTCCCTTTGCTCTTGTGACTACAGGGGATTGTGTTTGTGTGTCGTTATTGTTTCTTTGCCGATTGGCAGTTAGTTGTTTTGCTTTGCTTTACTTGTTTGAAATGGATATGATTTCAAAGAATGTCAAGATGTTATCCATTGTTGAGGAAGAACATAGGGGGCTCGTGATTGCGACTGACCCGATTGAGAATGAGAATGGCGCAACAGAAGGCTATAATTTAGTGGCAGTGACCAGAGTGGTTTCTGATAAACCTGTTCGTGTTCTTTCCTTATGTCAGACTATGGCTATGGTATGGAGACCTGTGAAAGGGGTCTCGATTGATGAGATTGAGGATTCCAAATTTCTCTTACAATTCTATCATGAGGGAGATCTGAACAGAGTTGTGGATGAAGGACCGTGGTGTTTTGAACAGAACCTGGTAGTGATTAGACGACTGGAGCGCACTGATAAACCGCTAGAGGTTGCTCTTGATCACGCAGACTTCTGGGTCCAGGTACATGACTTACCACTTAGCTACATTACAGCTAGGGCAGCTCGCTGCATAGCCAACAGTATAGGCTCTTTTGTGCAACTGGATGAGAGCTCTTCTGGAGGAAAACAGATACTGGTTATGCGAATAAGGGTCACTCTGAATGTTAGAACACTAAAAGCCCTGAAAATTTATGAGTATAGAGCTATGAAATATTTTCGACATTATACTGAAATGGTTGTAATCATCGAATGCGTGAAAGGATAAGTTGTATCGGGATAAACAGAACATGAGAAAGTGTTGCAAACAAGCGACGGCCTGTCTGATTGTCTATCATGTGGCATGATAAATGTTTTTTGTAATTGTTATAACTTTTTCATTGATCCAACTTTTTTAAAGCTATATCCAATTTTTATGATCTTTTATATGGTACCAATATTGTGTGTGTAAAATTTCAAAAATTCTAACAAATCATTTTCAATATATATTTTTTATAAATAAATTGGACCTTAAGTGAAAATGTTACTCTGTATAACAATTGGACGGGTGAACAATATCGCATTACATGGAGAGTGTAGATGAGCACAGTGCAAGTGTGCAATCACATTGCAAAGAGGTTTTGAAAGCTGAGTTAGACTAGGGTTGGTTTGCAACAGCTTAAAAAAAGCAATTCTCGACTTTTGGCTTAAAAAATCACTTATTTACCAAACATTACCCATTTTTACTTTTCTCGGCTTTCGTGTGAAAAGTGATTTTTCCTTTTCTATTACACAAAAAGCACTTATTTTACCAAACACTACCAACTTTTACTTTTCAAAATCATTTTTTTCTCAAACACAATCAACTTTTACTACTAATCACTTTTTTCAAATCACTCCAAAAGTGCTTTTTTTAAGCAGAAGTTGTTGCAAACGCTCCCTAGAATATGCTAATTTGGGAGGACTTGAAGTGTAAGTTAATTAACATCAATGGGTATCACAAAACTGATTTTCAAATGTTTCAGAAATATTTGTAAGTTGATCAAATATTGTAAATAGAAGTCATAAAATATGTCAAAGGCACCAAAGTCTACACACTCTAATCCACTATAAATTAACTCATCATATCATTGTGAAGCCACAAGGTTTATAATTAATGACTGTCGTAAAAGGCAAAATGGCAAAATGAGGCAACTGTTAAGACTATTCAAACTTGCCAACAAGTCCATTTGAATTCTTTGAATACATCTCCGAGTACTACAATTTGCTTGAGCATTATTTTACGGAGTATCTACTAGTGAAACACGCCACTAAAAATAATAACATGATCTACATTTTTTCTCTTTTCTTCCCTCAAAATATCACCACCAAAACAGATACTAGTAGAATTAGTTTGGAGGAATGTTTCTAAAACATTCACTTTCCCTCCTTTTCTCCTCAACAAATCCATAAAAATATCACTTCTTTCTCTCCCAATTCTTTGAGTTCTTCCATTTTCAATTCCCTGTTCCTTGTTTATTAATCTATACCTAGCAGCAATGCATTACCCCTCCACTCAAAATGCATCTTCAATATCCACATGTAAAATATTTTACCCGTTGCAAGTCCAAAATTATTTTAAAAAAAAATACCATGGTATACTGAGTGAATATTTTGCTAATATAAACCAAGCACCTTAGAGTATTACTCCTCATCCCTCAAAACTTTGCCAAATTTTATAAACACATGAAATAATGAAGTAAAAACTGTGATATTGAGATTTGTGCAGAAAAGAGATACTCCGTATATAATAAGAACCACAAATTCATTAATTAAAAAAAGAAAAGTGACAATCTTTTTGTCACGCACAAAAGATAACAAAAGTTTTAGGAACGGGTGAGATATGTGATTGGAGGGGTCAAAGTCAAACCGTTAGTTTCTGCTTTCGAAATTCAGGACATGCAGCTCAGCATTTGTTTATTTGTCTTGTGAATTATCTAGGGACAAATTAATGAAATTATCTGGGGACATTGATAAATACAAAAGGCAATAATGTATACTAATACTATATTATACGGAGTACGTATTATTTTTTGTGCACGAGGCGTCATTTAGAATTGGCAATTTGGACTTAGAACAGGCCAAAAGACTAATTTAGTAGGGCTTGAACATGCATGTATGCCTAATGCCTATTGTTTTTCTTATTTATTTAGCCATCGACTAAAATTTGTCATAATACAATGAACTTGCTGTACCAATCCACAAGTACAAACACACTCCCTACTCCACACCTATCGTTTTGTAATCATGTCCTTAATCATATCCATTCATGTCGGGCATCACATATCATCAATCATTGGCAAAATATCTATACTCCCTTTACGGAGTATTTAGATATTCTTTATTGGACTGATTTTGAGATCAATTAAACAAACCAAACCACATCAGACCACATCAGATCTAATCAAAATATGTTTCGACAGTTAAAAATACACATAAAATATGCATCGATATGCCCAGACTTAAAACAGATTAGACCAGAGAAAAAAATTATAATCCACTAAAAGCATTCATAGTGTCATCAAAGGAACTCTTTATCAAACATTTCCATAACTATTTCATACTTACAATGAGGTGTCTATAGTGCGTTTAATATTACCTCTGTTTTATTGGACATTGCCAAATTTTTAATAGGTGTGATTGTGTGAAATAAGAAATGTAAAAATTGTTTAGTTGAGAAAAAAGAAATAAGTAAAACCACATATTGTTTAATTTAAACTCGAAGTGGTAAAGTTTTAAGCAAAATCCAGCAAAGGAAACATTTTATTTCACCTAGGATAAACAGTATTTCAAACTCTAAGGTGATGCGTGAGGATTAGTTTGAACTTCAAACCCTAATATCATGCGGTGCAAGTCTACAACTTAGCATAACATAATTACTCTCCCTCAGTGCTATAAAATTCCTCCTACTTATCTTTTTGGATGTCTAAAAAAATTCATTTCTTTTTTGGAAAGTTTGTGCAACTGACATTCATTTTTCTTATTCAATCACAATCATGCATTTCCACTTTATTCTTATTTTGTTAAACTCCAATCCAAATTAAACCGGGAAAAACTTTATGAGGAGAGAGTATACTTCTTATCAGAAATTGTCCTAAATAGGTATAAAAACGTTTTGAAATTTCAAAATAGGACCATCATATTTTTTTAGTCCCTGAATAAGAGTAATCAACCAAGTTTGGAAAAAATGCCATGTTTAAAGTCTGGTAATGCCAAACTTGGCATCTAGGAAGCACGGAAACTCTCCATGGCTCACGTTTCCACGTTTCGGAAACTCGGAAGCGTTTCGGAAACTCGGAAACTTCAAATTCCCGTTTCGGGGCCGTTTCCATAATTAAGAAAAATTTGGAAACCCGTTCACTACGTTTCGGAAACCTTGGATTCCAATTTTTTTCTTTTTCAAAAGATTCTGTGGTGGAAAATATTTTTTTATAGTGAATTTTTGTGGTATTTATCAGCGGCAACACTTGTTACATTTCGTAACGCAATGTATTACTAGAAATGTATTACTCCGTACATTTTATGTTTAATTATGTACTAATATGAAATAATATCTAAATTCGAACATGTAGTGTGATTTTAATTTATTATTTGATTACTAAACAAATTATATTAAAAAACATGTGCATATGGAAAAACTTGTGTACATATATTAAAAAATATTTATAAATATATCCTTATGTTTTATAATATTTACGCGTTTCCCCCACGTTTCGTGTCCTATATTTTTAAGAAATTACGTTTCTCGCGTTTCCCGTTTCCCGTTTCACGTTTCCCGTTTCCCGTTTCCGTGCTACTTAGCTTGGCATAAATTTACTCATATTCAGAGAATAAAAAACATGATAGTCCTATTTTGGAATTTCAAAACGTTTTTCCTCCTATTTAGGAATTTGTCTCTAATTCTTATGGAGCATCTTATTAATCGATAATGCTATTTCTCTCATTTTAATTTGATTTCATTTTACACTTGCCAAGTTTTAGCTGGTTTTGCCAACGCAAATTCCTTCATGTGTTTTTTTAAACAAAATTAAAGCTTCGGATCCAATAATCTGATCTGATTTCTAGAAATAATGTTGGGATCTACCGATCTAATATGACCCACAAAATGTTAGCTTGCATGATGTCCAAAAAAACAACTTTATCCAAAACTCATAAATGCATCTTTTTTGTTTTTAATATTTCAAGCCTACGTTTCTTTTGCTATTTCCCTCAAAACTTTGTAATCATCAAGTCATCATAGCAATGAGATCGTTATAATGGCAAGCAACAGGAAGTACACCAAGTAAAACACTGCCAATGTGTTTTTTCTGTAAAATTTTGTTCCATCCAAGTATCCAACTATCGTCATTGTATCTAATTACTGTCATAGTGCCATGGTTGGGACTTGGGAATTTGGAATGGTGATGAAAAAAGACATCCTGCCCATTATCTAGTTACATACTATCTGCATACAATTTATACATCTAGCATGCATACAAATCAGGCATACACTACATTCAGAAAATTCAACACTTAGGGGAAATAACCAAAAGTCCATGGCTATAATTTAAATCAGCCGATGGTTATTTGAGTACATGAATAGGTTGGTTATTTTATGGGTGGCAAATGAGGGGACACTCCCCTCCCCTTATACATTCAGATCACCAATTTCTGGACTTAGAGGCTCAAAAAGAGCAGCCACCTCGCTGGCCTTGACATCTTCCAAGTTTGATGGATTCCATTTCGGGTTCTGCGAAGATACAGATCAGAGTATGTTAGAATTGTAAACCCTGCACATACACTACCTTGGTCGTTCTGACCCACTGAAAAGATCAAGAACATTTTTTATCCCATGAGTAAACCTATTGTAAAACCTAGTAATGCCAAACTTTCATTAACAGTCTCCGAGTGGGCCAAGGATGCTTTTTAAGGGATCAGAAAGGGCGCCCCCCCTATCCCCCCTATTCTCTTACTCTAACTCAAAAGTATTTCTCTCATGTTGCATCTGCTAGAGGAAACCGCAATAACATCTTATCAAAGGTGATGAGACTTCCATCACCTAGCTGCAAACGGCTTAGACCCCATTTGGTAATGATGACTATGTCTGAAGTTTAAGAAATTTATGAAATTGTGGGCTGTTAAGGATGAGGTTGCTGATATTGCTAGATTAAGAACATTTTTTTAAATTGACTTTCATGAGTAAACCTCTTGTAAAACCTAGCTGCAAACGGCTTAGACCCAATTTGGTAATGGTGACTATGTCTGAAGTTTAAGAAATTTATGAAATTGTGGGCTGTTAAGGATGAGGTTGCTGATATTGCTAGATTATGGAAAAAATCAAAATATATTTTATTGATAATAAATAGATACACACACACACAAATGACCATCTTTAGCAACTTAAGCCCCCAAAAAAGTATCTCCGACCTCGTGTGTTCATAGTGTGCAATCAATTAAATTAGTACTTCAGAGAAAAGGCCACTTAGCTTTAGGGGCATATAAGTGATCATTCAAAATTTGTAAAATCTTTCCTTGACTAAGTTAACTAAAAAAAGCTATACTTAACATGCCCTTTTTCGGGCAGAGGGTGTAGGAAACAGCTAGAGCAGTGTTAAAGAAGTGCATTAGTATGCAGTGTTCTGAAAGCACTGGGGGTGAGGGGGCAGTCGAGTCAGCCTGGGCAGGATCAGGCATAAAAAGATGGGATTAGGCGGGGTCAATTCTGGAACAATGAAGTAGCCAGATAGCACCTAGGTGGGGGGGGGGGAGGCTAGGTGCTCTAGTTGGAGTTATTTGAAACAGAACTTAAAATATTATATTGATAATTTGCGAGCTATAGCTTACTTTGAACGTTTAAACAGGCTTGTAATTATAAGAAACAAACCTGATCCTTGTCCACCAAAACAGCACGCACACCTTCTATGAAATCATCTCGCAAAGCAGATCTCAGTGCAATGCGATACTCCGTTTTCATCACCCCAGTCAGCTGAGTAGAGACTAGAGAGAATTAGTTGTCATTGCTACTACTAGTTCAGAGTGTAGAACTCATATGACAGAATGTTAGACACAATACATGGATATGATACAAAAGTGTAAAGTGGAAGTCTCATCACCTTTGATAAGATGTTATTGCGGTTTCCTCTAGCAGATGCAACATCAGAGAAATACTTTTGAGTTAGAGTAAGAGAAAAGGGGGCGCCCTTTCTGATCCCTTGCAAAGCATCCTTGGCCCACTCGGAGACTGTTAATGAAAGATATTACAACTTTACAAGGCAAATGACACTTTTCATTTAAGACTTATAAGAAACTATGGACAAACCTTTTTCGAAGTTAGAACGGACAAAAGCTTACCTAATGTATCACCACTGTCCTGATGATTTTCTAGCTCATTCATTATCTCCTTGATAGTCTTTTTGCCACCAAAAGTTGAAATTATCCTAGGTAATATTGACCTCAAGCGTGGTTCTGAATCAGGGGTAGTTCTGTATTTTTCCAATAGCTTCTGAATATCATGGTGTGGATCCTCAGAACTAGAAATAAGTGAGACGGTCAGCAACAAAGTTGATGAATCCTTAGAACTAGCAGACATATAATAGTAACTCATGCCATTAAGGAAACCAAGAAAGCATAACACAACCCAATCTCTGCAGGTCCATATGGAACCCGAAAAATGATAGGGAAAGGATATAGAGGGGAAACTGGGTGGAAATGAAATTTGAGAGGATAGTTGTTCCAACTCAAAAAATCACTTTAAGATATTTGTTCAAACTCATTTAATTTATATATTTCTAGAAAAAGACTGAAGTATAAATATAAGTAAAATTTTATTTTCCTGCATATTTTGAAAGTAGAACCAAAAACTAAAGAAAAACTACTACGTATGTTATTATATAAGCACTTGTTCTCTTTCCCTGCCGTTTCCACCTTCCGAGCATAGTCCACAGGAACCAAACACAAAGGAATACAATTTCTCGAAGGAACGTATTTTAATTTAACTCCACATAAAAATGTTGAATAGAAACGGAGCCGAACTCCCTAATCGATTTCAGAAAGAATAGAAAATATTGAGGCAATCTGTATCTCAAACACATGTATTTAAATTTGCAAGACAAATATGACAGTATGACACGACTAACTTCAGAGAGAAACTTATACAACAAACTAAAAAGAAATAATTACATATTTATGATTAAAATAAAAATTGTTTACAAAAATGTGACTAGTGACTAGAGTAGTAATGAAATCATAGTAACTTATGTTAAATTTTTAAGCTTAAGTTATCATGACACTACATTGTAGTAACTATTGGTCATATTTGTGTAAATATGTTTGAAAAAATCCAAACTAAAAAAACAAGGAACATGTGGGAACGAACAGTGTGGCATCCAATAGATCCTCCTTCAGTCCACTCAAATTTGAAGAGGGGACATAGTGTGTTCCCAGACCAACATACAATGCATCAGCAGGCGTTGATATTCTATTTCCAGTCAATCCAAGATAAGAACCTGCATCAAGTAGACAAGTCCAATCAATAATAAACTATAAAGAAGCTACCAAACATATATAATTATATAATGGAAAAGAAAACAATGACAGATCCGTAGCAAAAACACAAGAAAACAAAAAAAATGCTAAAAGATCTCACCTACTGCTCCTTCTCCTGGAGTATGTGCAGCTATATAAGCAAAGCCAACATCTGGAAACAAACCAATTCCATTTTCTGGCATGGCAAGAACAGTCCTCTGGAACAAACCCACTTGAATAAAATGGGGAATACTGAAGAATGAAATGTATAAACCAAACAAATTATCACTATAAATGAATAAATACCTCTGTTATTAACCTGTAGCGACCATGACCAGATAATCCAATCCCAAATCCCATCGTTATGCCATCCATGACGCTAATATAAGGCTTCTTGTACTCAGATATCTTACATATTAAAGAATACTCAGCTGAGAAGACCTGTTTCATTATTGGGTTTGGTAGTCATTAAACATGCACCAAGAACTGTTTGACTAAATAGCATGATCTAAACATAGATTGTTAAATTTTATTGATTTATATCCACAGAAAATGTAGACATGAAGAATATGTGAAGTCTACAGAACACTACTACTGGAGCATCTGAAGTAAAAGGTCCAACCCAAGTACGCAGTCATTTCCACTTCCAGTATATAATCATTTCCATAAACATTTTGACTTCTGATTAAAAACATCATCTTTAGAGTGCATTTCCATAAGAGATACTTGAGTACTACGGAGTATTATTCAAATATAATTAATCATGTTGACTTTGGTGTTATCAAACTGCTTTTTGATAATTGACACAGTGAAAATACACTTCAAGACCTCAATCATATCTGACAGATGTTTTTTGGTTGTTATCTGCTTGATGTCACCACCTGCAGGTAAAAACGACACACAGCCACTTCTATGATCCATTGGGCTAATATTTGTTAAGATGTAAAAAAAGATGTTATTAAATTAACAATGATTAAAAAATGAATCATGGATACAATAGTAAATGACATCAACATGTGCAGTTAGGCTACAGTTTAAGCATGTATCTTGACAGAAAGAAAGTGAGTGTTTAGCCAAAAGACAAACACATCATGGTTCATGTGCAACTGTAGGAAAAATCTCATGATGCTATGAAAACCTTTTGCACAAGAGAAGTGGTTTTGTCCTTTTGAATTTCGGCAACAACGCCCTTAATATCCATTCCTGCATTGGAAATGAATGGTTACCCTCTAAACCTTATAGCACTCAGAAAATGCTAACATAAAAGTGCACATAGAACACATGCAAAGATATAACTACGCAAAAATATATGTGAACATTTACAAGAATATAAATTTTGAGAGTAACAAAAAAGTATGACGGATTTTTCCATATGTCATTATTTACCTGCACAAAAGGCACGCGGGGTGCTTCCCTCGACCAAGACACATTTCACCTTTGGGTCTGATTCCCATTCATCTAAAAAGCTTTTATACCTGATATCCATGTCTGCATCACATTCAACAAAAAAAAATTGAAACTTCAAATGAATCATGATCATCCCAATCCCATATACTCCCTGGGTCCCTAAATAAAGATCTTACTTTCCTTTTCGGGTCGTCCCTGTTTACTTATTTGGTAAACAAAATAGTGCAAAACAACGCCAAAAGTGTCAAAACAGTGTCAAAACATTAACACAAAATGTCATTTCCTTAAATTGTGTGTAATTCAAAGTGGGACTTTTAAATAGGGACAGAGGGAGTAATGATTTTGTTGTGTTTTAGGATAAAATGAATAGATTCAGGCACCAAACCGCAGCTCAGAACAGAATCAGATAATATATGCTCAGTACAAGCTCGACTGAAATGTAGACTAACTTCTCACAGACCACAGAATTCTAAATGGTTCATGTAAACTACCTAAAAATAGTAGCTTTACAAACAATACCTAAGTTCATGGCGTTGAGAGCTTTAGGGCGGTCGAGGGTGATGACGGCGACGCCATTCGGGTGGACATTTCCTTTGACGAACTCGTCGGAGCTGCTCGATGCCATTACCGCGAAGGTCCGGAATGGCGGCGTATGGGAGGATATAGTTCGAGTGAGTAAAATGGAAGAGACAGAGCCGGCTAAAAGAGGAGCAGTGGTCGGTGGTCTGCGTAGGTTCAACAAATTCTGGGAAGCTCCAATCAAATGCCTCTGAATCATTTCTAGTGATCATCAAAAGTTACTGCGCATTCCGAAGGAGTGTGATCCAGTACTTTTTTACTGCTTCCCGGATTTGCCCTTCAATACATACTCCTCCCTCTCGCTAAGATTGTCCCATTTTACCTTTTTGGGAAGTCCCACTAAGATTGTCTGATACCAAATTTGATAAAGTTTGTGTGGCTCTAAATCATTTTTACTTTATTTTTACTTTTTCAATTCAATATCAACCACATAAATTCACTCTTCTTAGTAATCGTGTCACCTTCTTCCGTCCCAATGTTAGTGGGAAGGAGGTAATAGTTTGTTAACGATCCTAATCTCGGTGGTTTAGTTGTTAGATTAAGCAAATATCAGGATCAGGTGAAAGTGTTAAAGGGTAGATTTCACTATACTGGATCAAACTTCATTATAGAATCTAAATCTCCAATGTTCTAAAAGGCGCTAGGCGCTAATCGGGCGCCAGCCCAGCGCCTAGGCGGGCGTCTAGTCGGCGACTAGTCGGAGACAAAGAAATTACATTTTTATCTATATTTTTGCATAAATATGATAAGTAATATTGTATTTTTGTGTGTATAAAACAAATATATACATATACATTAACAAATATGAATGATAGAATTATCACATTTAATCGTACGTAATATATGATAACTAATGACTTAACTTCATTATGTTATAAATATAAATAATGATGAAATTTAGGTATATATATAAACATATATAGTTTTATATTAATTAACAACTTCATTTTTTATATCCATGACTAAAGATAAAGTACGTATATTGCTTAGAAAATTAAAATTAAAAAGTAAAGTAATATTCAGTGAATCTAGACGGCCTAAGCGGCCGATTAGGCTCTCTAGGCGGACAACTAGGCGTCGATGGCGGCCGACTAATTCACCTAGACGGAAAATCAATTAGTCAGAGTGCCTAGACGAAAATCGGGGCGCCCGACCACGGCCTAGCGCCTAGGAAGGGGCTAGTCGGACGTCTAGAACGATTTTTAGAACATAGATGACACCTAACTTATAGTAACAAACTAAATGACAAAATAATTAATATAAGCTTTCTAATAAACAAAAATATAATATCAAAAAACAACTATTTCCCTCTCCATCATATACTATGTGCTCCCTCTCTATACCTCACATTCATTGCGTTCGAATGACTTAGAGGATCTGTCCACTTCGGCGGCGGTGATAGACTCTGACGACTACGACAAGACTCCAGCGATAACGATAGACTACAACGATAACGCAATGACAGGGTGACTCCAACAATGACGACTATGCTTTCGTTGTCGCTCTAAAAATTCTTCTCCTTTCTTGTACATAAACTGCCTCCACCCAAAATCTTGATCCGCGATGTAGATTCAAGTATGTAGCTCCGTAATCTTCTTCATCGATCGAGATCTCTAGGTCGTTGCGGAAGCTAGTTTTAAATAGTTGGTTACGACGTACTCAAGCGATACCGACGAATCTTGTTATCGACAATAATGTCCTATGGGTAGGGTGGTGTTGATGGGAGCGGCGTCGGGTGTCCAGGAGGGTCGTTGAAGGATACGACACAACAACCAGGGTTGTGAAAAGGGGTAGGCTAGGGTGGTACGGGCAACGCTGAGTGTCCAGAATGGAGACAACGGCTAGGCTTATGTTTGGGGGATAGTGCTAGTGGAGGCCTTGTGGACATTATTGGGAGTTTGTTGGGCAATGAAGGAGTTGGGGCAGTAGATTGGGTATTGAGCAAAGCTGGTTGGAACATGAGTGAGGGTAATGGAATGGAGGGGTGCTGGAGGTGGTCACTGACGGGGTTGATAAGCGTTTTATTGACATGTTTTATACCATCATTTATAAACACTTTTATGATTAAAAGAATGTAATCCTCACACATATGCCTTGTTTTGCTAAAAATACTCTAATGGACGATTGGACCAAATACAAGGATGATAGAATACACACGAAGAATCCCGACGAAAAAAGGTCAACCAAACTCATCCCGAGGAACAAATGAAATCAACAAAAATGCAAGAAGCTCATGAAAGGCGCCCGACTTGTGGTGACGTATAACTAATTTCGTAAATTCAAGCCAAAAGTCGCCCGGCTTTTGGCAGAAGCCGCCCGGCTTCCGTCTCCTGGAGCGCTGGTCCACTTATTTTAAAAGGTGAAAGCCGCCCGGCTTTCGTCTGTGCGAGATTATAACAACAACGATCATCACAATCATTTGGGGAAAACACCAAAATTCATTAAGGAGCTTGTTTCCTTGTCCAAGAATGGCCATAGAAGACCTCTTATTTAATGGTTTTGAAGCTCTCTCAACACACCATTCCATATTCTACACATTCTACTTCCATCTTTGCATCCCAAGAACACCCCTTGAGTTTGGGAGAAGTCATCCATTTGGGGATACCATTGTCCACCATGTGTTTCTACTACAATCATCAAGAATTGTGAGAAAGTAGGATGCTCCCGACATGGATTTCATTCTCTATGGTCCCCATAAATGAATATGAACAAGATCAAAGGTTTTAAAAGCAATGAATTCACTTCTTTCGAAAGGCAACCTTTGATGTTTTGCCATTACACAAACATCACAGAACAGATCATTAACATTTCTAATATCACATGCTAGGCTAAGATGTTTCAGCTTTGACAAAGATGTATGTCCTAATCTGTTGTGAATAAGCAAAACATGATCTGGAATATTACAAGACTTATTTCTTAAACACTCTGTAGTCATTACTTTGTGTTCATTATTAAAATTTAAAAGAACAGAATCAACTTTATTCATTTCATCTTTGACTTCAAAGATGCAGATTCCAGGTCTCTTCCTTTCGATGGTTGTCCATTTCTCAGTTGAAAGGCTCTGTATATAACATCCATATTCATTAAAACAGGCTATCAATTCACTGTTCTTTGGCAGCTTACCTATAGACAGCAAATTGTGTTGAAATCCAGGAGCATACATCACTCCCTTTAGAGTAATTTGTTTTGATAACTGCATTTCACCAATAATTTCAACCTTTTTAATATTGCCATCAGGTAAAGCAACATTAATAGGTTTATTCAAGTGTGTTTTATTCTTCAACAAGTCCAAATAATGAGTCATGTGATTGGATGCCCCAGAATCAATTATCCATATGATTTCTTTAATGAAATCTTTACTTTCATTAACCTGTGAGGCATATGTCATACCTGTCATGTTGAAGCTTGTGGATGCTTGATTTGCGTGTGAATCGAATGAGCTTCTATGCTTCATAGAGTCTTGAATAGTTGTAAGGTCAATCTGCTGAAGAACCTTGAAATCTGAATCCATTTCTTCATCAAAGGAGTACTTTCTCCTATATCTTTGAATTTTTGTTCACAATTTGTATTACCAACAAACTTCTTTTCATTTGAAATCCTTGAGTCCAGAGAGATATTTTTCTTTCCTTTAGAGCCTTTGTACCAATCCAGATATCCTTTGATTTCAAAACAATCTTTCATCAAATGCGCTGTCTTATTTCAATGAGTACACCACAATGATTGCTTTTCCAGTTTTGATTTCAAGTATTCAGTCTTTGTCATGGGATGATTGTCAAGAGTTTTATTCTGATTGATTGAAATTCTGCTAAATTTATTTGCAGCCATGGCCATTCCACCAGATATATCATTTTGGTGACCACTGATGGATTTTTGCATTTCAACCCGTTATATACTAAAGAAAGATTGATTCACAGTAAGCAAGGAATCCACAACAAGTATCTGGTTTCTTAAAGGTTCATAGTGATCATCAAGCCTTATTAGAAACTCCGTCAGTTTATTCTTGTTATCTTTCTCAATGATTCGCTTCAATAATTCACAAGTACAAGAATTTACTGCTCCACCACATTCACACATTGGCATTTGGCAGTCCATCTAGTGCTTGAATATCAACCTTCCAAAATGTTCAACAACAGTTCTTCCTTCCTGAGTTATTTGAGTTAAATCCTTTTTTAATTGATATAAGTAGGGAGCGTTAGTTTGACTGTATCGCTCCTTTACTTCTTCCCACAATTGTTTCGAAGAACTTACATACATCATAGTTCTTGCAATTGCTGGAGACATTGTGTGGAGAAGCCAGCTCATGATTGTATAATCAACTCTTAGCCACTCCTGGAAATCATCCGAATCTTCTTCTGGCTTTTTTATTTTTCCATTGATAAATACAAGCTGGTTTTTTAGATTAAGGCCATTTTGATGCCTCAGGAATAGTTCAGATAATTGTTTCCATTGAAGATCTCATTTGTGAGCATCAAATTGGAATGATCATTTGGAGCAAGATATAAAGGATCCTTGTATGAATTTGATGTTTCTCCATTTGGCATTTTTGCGAACGTTATTAGGGGTGGACTCGGGTCGGGCCAACCGGGCCGGTAACCGGTCTTGGTGCCGGTTCGGGCCACCCGGCCCGGTCAGATAGCGGTCCGGGCTCGAGCCTGCTTATTTGTGAACCGGCCCGGGCCTCAACAGTCATTTTTTTTATTTTTTTTGAATATTTAGAGGCTTATAGCCGTTGGGACTGTTCCCAAACGGCGCTATAGCCGTTGGGAGCATAGGTGGGGGGGTGTGGGGGGGGTGGGGGTGGGGTTGGGGTATACAAAAAAAACCTATTTATACTCCTATTTTCTATAAATTTTTTACACCTCTTCTTCTACAACTCCTCCTACTCTCTAATTCTCTATTCTCTCAATCTCTCATATTCAATCATCTTCATTCTTCATCTTCTCCAAATTCTTTCTACATATATATAATTTATATAATTATTATATCTACTTATATATTAATTATCTACTTATAAATATATACTTATATATACTTATACACATTCATATTATAATTCTTTACACATTATATATACTATATATACTTATACACATTCATATTTACTTGATATTTAGTTATTATCCATATTATTGTTATTTACTTTTATTTACATATTACATTTAGTTAATATATACTTATATATATATATATATATATTAAAGTATTAAGTATAAGTGTATCACTCATCTTATAGTAATATACTTATATATATTATATACTATAAACAATATATTATATATTAGTTATAATATATTTAGACATTATATATACTATATAAACTTATACACATTCATATTTACTTGATAGTTAGTTATTATCCATACTATTGTTATTTACTTATACTTACATATTACATTTAGTTAATATATACTTATATATATATATATATATATATATATATATATATATATATATATATATATATATATATATATATATATATATCTCCCCTTATAATATAAACGCCATCTTCCGTTAGTGTGGTTCTTTTCCCGTTACTGTCGTCTTCTTTTAAAAACTACTTCTGTCTTCTCCCGTTAACCAGCCCCTTGGTTACGCATCACACCGAATCGGATCCAGGCAGTTACTTCACGCCCTCTCGCCAACGGAGGCTTCCAGCCTTTATCGTAAACAAATACAAACAAGGTCGTTGCCATGCCTCTGCAAATCCACTCTGTTTTCTTTCCTTTCTACTCTTCTCATCTTACTCGGTATTACGGTTCCTCTTTAATCAAGGTACATCTTACTTTGTAATCAATTTTTGTGTTTTGCTTCATTGCATTAATTACGTATTTAACAAATCACACAAAACACCTCTTTAACTCCTTCTCGTCCGCCTCTAAACAATTATTGAAGTTATTGTATCCAATGTATTTGTCAAAATGCTTGAAAGGGAACTGCTAACTACTAAATTAACATAATGACAACTAAGTGTGTTTCTCTTTTTGTACCTTACTCAAAAATGCAAAATTACTACGACTAACACCTAGATTATTTGGACCCTAAGTAGCTTCTGGTTTCACCCCTAGGCTTCGTTGTGCTGATTGAATAAAACAGATATGTAGAGTTCTATAAAGAAAGCTTTGAATAGTTTAATGATTGATTACTAAACATAGATCAGATTAAGGACAACAAGTGTCTTTTGTTTAGTGTGAGTTCAGATTTTAGACCAACCAACTTCTTACAGTTTAAAGGGCTATGAATTCTCAGACACGATATTTATTACTAACATTGACTAAGGCATTCTTTCAAACAGTCTACGAACACCTACAAAATTAGTAAAAGTGTGACTTCTTTTGCAATCTTTACAATCTGGTACAATATGACACTATATAGAACTCTGTAAAAGGTCAGGGTTGTACTTTATAGAACTCCTTAGAGTATGCTGGAAAAAATATTATGAAAAATGTGTTCATCAAAAGGACTTTTTTTACATCTTACTTTATTGTAGTTTTCGAATAAACATATTCACAAATAGAAATAAGGTTCAGCCATCACAACTGCCTTTTGCAATGTATATTTACAACTCTCTCAGCCAAAAGTTTATTTTAAAACGTTGTTGCTTTTATAGTGGATACGTTGAATTAACAAAAAAAATAAATAGAATTGGACATTATGAATCCTTATGGAAGTTTTGCTATTCCACAATTAAGACTTTTGATACCTCCTTTATACACCGTGTATAACACAACATTACATTTTTAAATTTCTAATAACTATATTTGGAATTATGTATCACAGGTTGTCCCAAAAAGAAACAAGCTGCTTGCAGATAAAGGTAACTTCCTACCTAAAAAATATAGCTACTCTAGAAACATGATTATATATTTATATTCAATCATTCATTTATTTATGTGTCCTCCATGTCTTTATTAGTCTATTAATGTACTATTAATAAAAAACATTAATATTGATATAATCTCCCTGTGCCATTCATAAGTCTAACATACCAAACTGTTGTGTACAGAACACCATGGAAAGAGGTGAATGTTCAAAACATAGTAAAAACCCTCAATCACGCCTTGCTCAAAAAAACTTTAGGCGTAGATTACGTTACCAAGAACAAAAGGACCAAGAAGAAAAAAACAATCCCGCAATTCAACAACCTCAACCTCTAAGCTTTAGCAACTGCCCTAAAGGTTTTATACCGTTTTCATTCAAAAATCTCATTCTACTAATTACTAACTTTCTAGAACACTAACTAACTTTTCTTCTCTATTTTTTTGCAAACAACCCATTCACACATCACAACTACTTCTAAATATATATACATATGCTCACCAACAAACGATACTTAAATTCTTGCTACTTACCATACTCAGACAACCACTGCCAATCCAAATATCTTGATATACCCTTTTGTTTAACAAAAATTCCGAACTGCTGCTACTGTGGGGCTAAGAGAATACAATATGAGTCTCTAGGGTTTTGCTGTTGCCAAGGTCAAGTTGTTCTTGTTACAACCGATATGCCTTCTATCTTGAGAGATTTATATATAGGCAAAGACACACGGTCAAGGCAATTCCAAGCCTCTATTAGGACCTACAATAACACATTTGCCTTCACTTCAATTGGAATATACAACTACGATAGAGACTTATGTCGGAGAAACAAAGGGATATACACATTCAAAGTCCAAGGCCAAATTTACCATTACATAGACAATTTAGTCTCAACTACTGCTCAACCACACAACCTACAACTATACTTTTACGACACAGAAGTACAGATTGAAAAACGTTTGAACAGTTGTGATAGATTGGACAAGTATGTTGTTTGCAACATAGTTGATTTAATGTCAAACAATCCTTACGCTCAGTTCTTTAAAACTTTGGGTGACATCTCACTTGAAAATGAATTCAGCATCACACTGAATTCTGATGTCGGATTGGACCAAAGGGTGTATAACACACCATCAGTTTCTCAAGTCGCTGCAATTTGGGTAGATGACTCTGACGATATCGGTTCAAAGAATCGGAATATTAGAGTATATGCTCACAATGGTATCTCTAAAAACATCCAATATTTCTATGGTTGTTACGACCCATTACAATATCCTCTACTATTCCCAAAGGGTGAAATTGGTTGGCATGAAGGTATATTGAAGGTTCTCCCAAATGTAGATACTTCTGCCCAAAATAAAAGTATTCTAGAATCCATCACACCAGCAAATGGTTCACTGCTCACAGCAGATGACGTCATAAGAGCTGAAGAAATTAATTTCAAACAAAGTCGGAAAAAGAAATCTGTTTCATGTAGAGAATACTACTCTTACAAACTTCAAGTGCGGCCAAGTGATCGAAGCTTTCTGTTGCATACAGGAAGGTTGCTTCAACAATTTATTGTCGATATATATGTGAAAATTGAGACACAACGACTTGATTTCTATAGACTTCGCCAACATGAGTTAAGATCTGAGACATATAATGGAATAGTCGACAGTATGAATGTTGGAATGGTATATGGTAATGATGTGGGAAGAAGAACAATTTTGCCAGCATCATTTATAGGTGGCCCTCGTGATATGCGAAAACGTTATCTAGACGCCATGGCTATTGTGCAACAAATTGGAAAACCGGATATCTTCTTGACAATGACTTGTAATCCAAATTGGCCAGAGATCAAAGAACTTCTACAACATGTAGATGAGACACAAAATAGGCCAGACATAGTTGCGAGGATATTCCACAGCAGACTCCAAGAGCTAAAGAATGATATCGTGCGGAAGAGGTTTTTCGGTGAGGTGGCAGCTTACATATATGTAATTGAGTTTCAAAAGCGTGGCTTACCTCATGCTCATTTTCTCATTATTCTAAAATCAAACTCAAAGATAAGTAATCCAGATGCATGTGATCGCTTCATATCTGCTGAAATTCCATGCCGATTTAAAGAACCTCGTTTGTATGACCTTGTTAAACGACACATGATACATGGACCGTGTGGTACATTGAATCCCAAATGTCCTTGCATGTCTAAAAGAAGAGGACTAAAACCTCTTACTTGTAAAAACAAATATCCTCGACCATATTGCACTGAAACATCATTTGATCAAGACTCTTTCCCTATCTACCGCAGGAGACAAAGCTCAAATTCTGTGAACATCAAAGGCATGTCTCTGGATAACACATGGGTTGTTCCTTATAATCCAAATTTGTTACTTAAATACGATTGCCACATCAATGTTGAGCTATGTGCTTCAATAAAGTCTGTAAAATATTTATATAAATACGTGTACAAAGGACATGACAGAGTAAGTATAAGCTTGACAGATTGCGATGGTGGCGGTGAGGTGGATGAAATTCAGGATTTCCAAAAAGCAAGGTGGGTTTCTGCACCAGAGGCTGCTTGGAGGGTGTTTTCATTTCCAATTGCCGATATGAATCCATCCGTTTTCCAATTACAAGTACATTTGGAAAATTTCCAATATGTCAACTTCTATGGTGGTCAAAGAATTACAACAATACTAAAAGATGATGTTCAATCTAAGACAATGTTAACTGAGTTTTTCAGAATGAATTCTATCAGTAATGATGCCAAGAGACTTGACCTATTATACATACAATTCCCCGAATACTTTGTATGGTCAAGCACGAATAGAAGTTGGACACCAAGGAAGAGCAAGCATGTCATAGGCAGAATAGTTAATGTCAATCCAGCAGAAGGAGAGCGATTTTACTTGCGGTTATTACTTCAAAATGTAAGAGCTCCGACATCTTTTGATAATCTCAAACACATTGGCAGCTCTACAACTTCAACCTTTAGGGATGCAGCCGAAAGATTAGGACTATTAAATGGAGATCTAGGTGTTGAGGCATGCCTAAGTGAAGCAATTACATACCAACTACCACAAAGCTTACGAAGATTATTTGCGTCTGCTTTAGTTTTCTCTGAAGTTCCTGATCCAAGAGATCTATGGCAGAAATTCAAGCCATATTTTTGCGAAGATTTTGCAAAGACTGGACTATACATAGAATCTGAAATTGAGATCATTGTTTTACGCTTAATTGCTGCAGATTTGGAAAAATTAGGCAGATCCTTAGATGAGTTTAACTTAGTAGATTTTGATGTCCAAGTTTCTATCATGGAAAAGCAAAATCGTGAAACAAGATCTGAGTATTTTTTCCAAGTCAATGATCAAGATCTTCAAAGTGTGAATAAACTCAATTTTGAACAAAAGGCAGCCTATGATGCAATACTAACAAAAGTATTGAGTGGTGTGGGAGCCATTTATTTCGTGGATGGGCCAGGTGGAACAGGAAAAACATATTTGTATAGAGCTTTGCTAGCTACAATAAGATCTAAACATTGGATAGCTTTGGCAACCGCAACATCAGGGATCGCCGCCTCCATTCTCCCAGGAGGACGAACAGCACACTCCAGATTTAAGTTACCAATAGATGCAGATGATAAATATATTTGCAATATTGGAAAACAAAGTGCAGAGGCTCATTTAATAAGAGAAGCAAGATTAATCATATGGGATGAGGTATCCATGGCTAACAGAAAACTTCTAGAGGCACTTGATACAACTCTAAGAGATATAATGGGCTCCAATGAAATATTTGGAGGCAAAGTTATAGTTTTTGGAGGGGATTTAAGGCAAACTCTTCCCGTAGTAAGATCTGGTCACAAAGAAGACTTCATTGACGCCTGCTTGGTCAAATCAACAACTATGTGGTCCAAGATTATACGGGTACAATTGTTACAAAACATGCGAGCATACACAGATCCACAATTTTGTGAATACTTAATGAAGATTGGGAATGGGTTAATTAAAACCTCTTCAGATGACATGATTGAGATCCCCGACCATTTCTTAATCTCTTGCCCAAACAATGAGACACCGCTGACTTGTTTATTTAAGTTTGTTTATCCAAACTTACATTCCTTTCACCAGGATCCTTATTGGTTAATAGGGCGGGCAATTTTAACCACAAAAAATGAATTTGTGGATGAAATTAATTCAATTCTCATTGCACAGTTCTATGGAGACCCTAAAATATTTTTAAGTTATGATGAACCAATCGATTCCAAATATTCCAATTGTCAAGCCTATCTTCACACATTGACATTTGCTGGAATGCCTCCCCATTCTTTAACTCTCAAGAAAAATTGTCCAGTCATACTCTTGAGGAACTTAAATCCAAGTGAGGGTTTATGTAATGGAACGAGGCTAATCTGTGATTCATTCGGTGATCATGTATTAAGCTGCTATATTGCAATTGGTGAACATAAAGGAAATCACGTCTTTATACCAAGAATTCCCCTTGAGACATCTAAAGATGAGAAATGCCCTATCCCATTCAAAAGACATCAGTTCCCAGTGAAGTTATGTTTTGCAATGACAATCAATAAGTCACAAGGTCAAACATTAGATTATGTTGGGGTCTATCTGAAGGAGCCGGTCTTTAGCCATGGCCAATTATACGTTGCTATGTCACGTGCAAAAAACGCTGATTCATTGAAAATTCTTATTCATGAAGAAAATGCCAAGACCAAATTAACAAATAAAACTAAAAATATAGTGTATCAAGAAATTTTGCAATATATTTTACCAAACATAGCTCCATCTATATGAATTGTGAAGATTTCATATGTTACATCCAAAATGTAAGTAACACATGTGTTTCAAATTTTTCTATTTGTCAATTTTGTTAATATATAAGCAAATTTGCATTGATGCATAACTTCTTTCTTTTTTATTTTTAGGACACAAGCAACATGGGAGACTATCTCTTGATAAAAGAAATAACTCCAGGCATGGCTACATGGACAAGCAAAGTGGTGGTTATAGAGAAGCTCAACATACGAGAATCAGCCAAAAATCCTGGGAAAATATACAAACCATTTGTGCTCCAAGACAGTGTGGTAAGTAACTTTATAAACATAAATTAATGCACATATTAAATTCTTAAAAACCAGTGTATCTTTTACAGGGAAACAAAGTTAAGGCTTTGGCCTATGGGCATGAAATTTCAGTTATCGACCAGCGTCTAAGTCTTCATAATACTTACCTGATTTCTAATGCAATGGTCTCCAATGTCTATGCAAACTTCAATGTTCCCGATGTGGAATATCAATTCATTTGGTCAATCAATAGGAGGACATTGATACAAGATGTGGATGCAGTTGATAAGTTAGAAATAGTAGCACAACCTGAAGCAGCAGTTACACCCTTTAATGCTTTCTATGATTCCATGATACAGAAGGAATTGATAAGTAAGAAGTTCTTTATGACATTTGAATCATTATATCTAGATAATGACAATATTTATATTCATTGCCAATATTAAATATATTTACTTAATCTACAGATGTGCTCGGTCTCATAATATGCAAACTCCCACGGGAGTTCGTTCTCACGTCCGATGGACCGAAAAAGGCTAATGACTTTGTAATTATAGATGACCAGTAAGTTAAAGCAGAAATATTGTATATAAGGATTCCAAAAACTATAATCGACTTAATCATTTTATAAATATGTATATATAATTATAATTTTATATAGATCACAGCCCATCATTGTCACAATGTGGAATGAATTTGCTTCCATCCAAGGACATGAAATTCAGGGATTATTGGACGCAGGGATACATCCAATAATTCTTGCAAAACATTTAGCTGTAACATCTTACCAAGGCAAGTCTGATTTTGTATATGTATATAAATTATATAAAAAAATTCTATTAGAGTAGTAATATGTTATACTCTAAGAGAAAACGTTCTTTCATAACTCTTTTGTATAAATTAAATATTCTACTAAAGTGTAATTACATTTATTTTACAGGATTGTCTCTGTCTACTACATACGATTCATGCATTGAGCTAAACCCAATCACCAAACAGGCTAATGACCTGAAAGAATGGTTTTACCCCATCAACACACTCTTTTTTAATATCAAAGTTGCATTTTTTACTACTAATTCATAAAATTATTTTACAACGTTCTGTCATACTAATGTCTTGTCTTAACAGGAGAGGCGCACATGCAATTGCCATTGAGCAAATAATCAAAAGAGGACACTACATTGATTCACTAGACGCTCTTGGACGTCCACATCTCCAAGTAAAGACCAATGTTTGTGATGTACTGAAAAGTATAAAAGAGGTATACAACTATACATTAAACAAACCATATTAATCATTTTGTTCGTAAATTTATGAGCATCATTTCTAAACTAAACTTTATCTTACACTGATTTTGAAGGCAAAAATGCTATGGGTTGAAGGTAATTTCAATTTCATTGGAGGTGGAACAATTCCCTACTACATAGGTTGCAACAGCTGCAATAAAGGGATACATTCAACTGAAGAAGTGCACTATGAGTGTTTGAATTGTGGTAGCAAGCAAGGAATTGCAACAAAAAGGTCAGCAAATGCTTGTATAACTTTTTTTAAAAGAAACATGTCAAATATCTTTTAATATTTCCTCTCATAATTTTAATGTATATACTTTTTGAAAAAGAAGCATGTGAAATATCTTTAATACTTTAAAAAAAACATGTGAAATGTCTTCTAATACGTGTGTTGGCAGGTTTCGTCTAAGTGCAGAGTTCTGTGACAAAACTGGTGTTTTAGAAACAACTTTGTTCACTAATGAAGTGTTCAAGTTACTACGTTTGTTTGAAATGAATGTTGCTCCTGAATTTGTTGAAGTCGAAGAATTAAAAAAAAAAAATCAAGGCCGAGCGCTTCACTATTGCAGTTAAACATGTGCCCCCAAAATCCCTGCAAGACACAAAGTTAAATATCTCCCTTCTTTATTTGACTTCTTCTGTGGTGAAAGATACTAAAGACATAGCTAAAACCGAAGCAAACAAAAGCACCATAACAGGAAAGAGGAAACTTGTACTAGAGGAAAGCTATGAATCAGAAGTACCAAAAGCAGGAACAGACTCATCCCAAGATATTCCAAGCACATCTCACAAACCCAGGCTGGGGAAAAAACACTTAAAGTGTTAGCTTAATTCCTGATCATATTTATACTGTACACAACTACTTCATGTATGTGCTATATTTAAAATAACTCATAATAGGTAGCCTTATGCAAAATAATAAGAATGGCTCCCTGTGACAGCCTTAGGATGTATGAAAATTTGAATTGTGTAATTAATACTTAATTATTCATAATCTTTTGTGTCTTATAATTTTATCCTACAAATTTCTATTTGATGTTACCAACAGAACAAAAAGTTCTTTATAATCTACAATTCGGCTTGATTATAAGTTGTCATACTTTTCATATAAAATATCAAATCTTTTAAAATGAGTAGTAACATAAATGTATGAAAATTTTATTCAAACACCACACACGAAAAACATTTAATTTTTTGTAATGGCTTGTACTAAAAGTCTGTTTTTAATTATCACATTTATCAAACTAATTAAACACTTCCCTAACAATTTTGGTTATCTAACAAAATGGTAAATACTGCCCCCAAGAATTTTGCACTTATAACTTACTTAAATCCATATTCCCTTACGGCTGAAATTTACTTTGAATAGATAACATTATGACCTAAACATTTTAACCAAAGTTTATCACAACGAACTCTAAAATGTACACAAAAATCAAATCAATTTACAATGTAATAACCATTCAACCAACCCAATTACTTTCAACTGCAGTAATGAAATTATATGAATCCTACTTCGTTAGTTCTTGGTTACAATCCAATTGATCATCTGCCATAACACATTTACTTAAATTATTGTCCATTGCTACTTAATGGAATTGGGCAACAATCGCACGTAGTGCGTATACCGCTAGTATATATATATATATATTAAAGTATTAAGTATAAGTGTATTACTCATCTTATAGTAATATACTTATATATATTATATACTATAAACAATATATTATATATTAGTTATAATATATTTACACATTATATATACTATATATACTTATACACATTCATATTTACTTGATAGTTAGTTATTATCCATACTATTGTTATTTACTTATACTTACATATTACATTTAGTTAATATATACTTTTTTTTAGTTAATATATACTTTTATATATATATATATATATATATATATATATTAAAGTATTAAGTATAAGTGTATTAGTCATCTTATAGTAATATACTTATATATTATATAGTATAAACATTATATTATATATTACTTATAATACATTTACACATTATATAAACTATATAGACTTATACACATTCATACATTTTATAGAAGTAGTTAATTGTTAGACTTGTCATTTATCTATTAAATTAGTTAATTGTTATATTTCTCTACATTTCCCTTTAAAGAAAAAAATATTAGTTACTTGTTACATATCATTTTTCATTTAATATTAGTTAAACTAGTTACTTAGTTAATTGCTACATTTCTCATTAAAGTAAACAAAGTAGTTAATTTTTACATTTGTCATATTAATATTAGTTAAACTAGTTAATTGTTACATTTCTCATATTAATATTAGTTAATTGTCACATTGCTCATTAAAGTAAAAAAACAAAAACTAGTTAATTTCTACATTTGTCATATTTATATTAGTTAAACAAGTTAATTGTTACATTTCTCATATTAATATTAGTTAATTGCTACATTGCTCGTTAAAGTAAAAAAACTAGTTAATTTTTACATTTGTCATATTAATATTAGTTAAACTAGTTAATTGTTACATTTCTCATATTAATATTAGTTAATTGCTACATTTCTCATTAAAGTATTAATTACAAGTAGTTTGAATTTTTTTTCAAGGAAAACAAATTGTTACATTTGATATACTCATATTTTAGTTCGAATTTGCTATAGTTTTCTTAGTCACATTTTATTATTACTATTGTACTCATATAAAATATTTGATATCATTTAGTATTTGTTCAATTTTAAAGATGGAGCGTGCTAGACATTCTGTATATATGGGTAATCTCCAACGCAACCGCAAGAGGGAGATTGCGGCGACTCGTCCTACTTCACGCAAAGGCAAAGGTAAAGTGCGGGCCGAGTCTTCTTTTCAAAGTCGAGATGATTTTGAAACGGATTACCAACGGAGAGATGATATGGCGATGTCCGACGAGCAACTACAAAACCTATTGTCCCAAAACGATCCACGCTTTGCACAACAACAACACATCCCGACAACCATTGATGAAGACGAGCTCGAGGATGACGATGCGGAGGAGGACGCGGGGGGCGACGGCGACGGGACTCACGGCACCCCGGATGATGAGCAAGACTTGGAGGACGAGGGCGGTTCAACCCAAACTGGTAAGAAATCTAAATCTCCTATTATTGAAAATAATTTTACAAAAAGGAAAGACAAAAATACCGAAAAATGGTACTTGCAATCATTGCGGCAAAGAGTATAGCTTGGGAACTTCTGGCGGATACGGGAGTCTCACAAGGCATCTTAAGTCCGCCCATCTTGTGGAGTATGCGAAAATAGACAAGGGCAAGGGGAAGCAAACACAAATATCGAGGTTTGCAAATTCTCAACCCTTTGGTAATTTCTCCTATGATGATCAAAAACATTTGACTGGTATGTCTCATTTAATTGTTGAAGAAAATTTACCCTATATTTTTTCCGAAAGTCTTGCTTTAAGAGATTATGCTCAAGGTACTTTAAATCCTCAATTTAGAAATTATAGTCGCAAAACGATTAAAAAAGAAGTTATAAGGCAATATAACTTCGAAAAAGAAAATTTACAAACACTTTTCGCAAACTTTAATGGACGTGTTAGTATTTGTAGCGATATATGGGAGGATACTTATCATCATTTATATTATTTGGATCTTACTGCACATTATATTGATGATGATTGGAATATGCATAAACGTGTTCTTGGTTTTCGTGAATTCAATGATCGTCATACTGCTGATAATATTTATATTCTCATTGAGCGTATTTTAATTGAGTATAATTTGCTTGATAAGGTGTTTGCTGTAGGTTTTCATAATGCTAGTAATAATACTGCTGCTATACCTAGATTGCGTGAATTGTGTGGTGCTTTTACATTGATGGGTAGGTTTTTTCATCAACGTTGTGCATGTCATATTCTAAATTTGTGTGTACAAGATGGGTTGGCGGCATTAGGAGATGCTTTGGAGGTAGTGAAGGGGGAATTAAAATGATTTGAGGTAGCACTCCACTAAAAATGCAATGGTGTCAATATTTGAAGGAAAGACGTGTCAATTATTGTGCTTTTCCTAAAGATTTGTCTATTCGTTGGAATAGTACTTATAACTTAATTCAAGTACTTATTAGATATAAAGAACATTTTCCTGCTTTTTTTAAACAAACTTGTAACTATATTATAAACCCGGCTGACATCGACACTTGTGAAAAAATTGTTAATGTTTTGGTATATTTTAATAACGCAACTCAAACTTTTAGTCATGTTTATAAACCTACCGCAAACGAATTTTTTATTAAAGCTGTTAATCTCGCCGGCGCTTTTTTAGAATTTTCTGATGCCGCTTACGTTAGTTATTTTTGTGATTTCATGAAACAAAAGTTTTTAAAATATTATTCACATGTTCCGCATATATATGGTATTGCATTTGTTCTTGATCCTCGTTATAAACTTGTCTCGTTGCCAACTTGTATAGATTACTATTATAATTGTTTTTTTTTCCAACTCAAGAGTTCGATGATAACCCCATCAACCCTAAACAAGAATACAACGAGGTTAGTAATTTATTTCATCAATTGTATAATGAATTTCATGAACAGTATGGTAATGCACCCCTCCCATGCCGCGAATATCTTCTTCATCTAAAGGAAAATCACTTTTAAAATCTGCATTTGGTTCTCTTATGAAAAAAAGTAGAGCAACTCCCGCTACTGAACAAAGCTCAGTTAACGAGCTTTCTTTGTATCTAACATTGAATGTTGATTATGAAGTTGGGGATGATTTTGACGTTCTTAAGTGGTGGAAGGACAATGAAAGAATGTTCCCGGTTTTATCAAAGATGGCTAAGCAAGTGCTAGCAATGCCGATATCAACAGTTGCCGTGGAACAATAATTTAGTGCGGCCGGCAACGTCCTAACCGATTATAGAACGAGGTTGAGCCCGAGCTCTCTTGAGACGCTAGTTTGCTTCCATGATTGGTTGAAGGCCAAACGAAGAACTCAAGAAATGACCATCGCTCCCACCCGCCACTTTATGGAGGAAACAACCACCGAAGGCGGAGATTCCGATTGATTTTTTATTTCAAAATGTATTACATTTTTTAAATGCATCCTAATTCTCAATTGTACTTCTTATTTGAAATAAAAATATTTGAATTATTTTATATTATTGTGTACATCAATTCAATAATTCAATTCAATAAAATTAATTTGTAAACTTGTACTTCATATGTAGCACTTCTCAAATTAATTATATTATTGTGTACACCAATTCAACTTATATTATTTTGTAACATTTGTAAATTATAAATCAAATCACTTTTCTAAGTAAAAATAGTTTTACTTAATTAAAAAATTAAAAACATTTTCCTTACACTATGTATAATTTTCTAAATCATATCACTTTCCTTACACTTTTCTAAATCAAATAACTTTTCTAAGTAAATTATACACAATATGTATAATTTTCAAAAAAAAAAAAAATTAAAACATTTTGAAGTGGGAGATTGCTCCCAAACGGCTATATAGCCGTTGGGGCTTAGGGTGGGGGGCAGGGGGGTCCCGGGGGGTGGTGGGGTGGGGGTGGGTTTCAAAAAAATCTATAAATACATCTATTTTCTATCATTTTCTGCACCTCTTCTCCAACTCTTCTCCATCTTCATCTTCTCTTATTATCCTACATTTCTACTTATACATCTACCATTTTAAAGATGGAAAGTAATTCTTCTGTTATGCAAAACAACTTTGATAAGTGGAGGGACCCGAAGACCAGACTGTGGTGGGCAACTTGCAATTGGTGCAAGAAAGAGTGTTGTTTGGGGCGTTCACACGGAGTCGGGATGCCAATAAAACATATGAAGTCATGTGAC